CGCGACGGCCTCGTTGAGGTGCTCGAACGCCGACTCGGCCCGCGCGGCCGCGCGCACGGCCTTGAGCTCGGCCATGAGCCGCCGCAGCTGCTCGCCGCGCCGCACCTTGCCCGCCTTGAGCCGCTCCACTTCGGCTCGCAGGCGCGCCACTTCGCTGCCATCGCCGCCCTGGCCTGCCGCCTGCTGTGGCCCTGTGGAGGGCGACGATGAAGTCACGGCCGTGACTGAAGGCGTGGCGGGTGTGGCTTGGGCGGCGGCAGTGGAAGAGCGGAGGGGTGTCGAGGGCGAAGGCGGCAGGGGCGGGGCGGGGCTGGAGTCTGGTGTGGTGGTGCTACTCCCCTCCATCTCCTCTTCTATGAATCTGTTCCTGATGGATGGATGTATTCTACTCGAGAATCGCCTGCCTCAAGAAGCTGGTGGATGTGTGCGCCTTTCAGAGGAAGGGTGGCCTCAGAGGCATGCCACAACGAGCCCGTGTGCCTGATGGATTTGCGCCTGCCACGAGAGGGCCCTCTTGTTTCTAATTCTTATTTCCCTTTCCTTTTTCCAAATGATCAAATGGAAAATAGAAAAATAAAGTAAAATAACGAAAGAGATGGAGGCAACAACGTTGGGAGGTGGAGAAGAGGAAGGAGTGTGGTGGGCCGAAGAGGGAACACCGCTGCCCGAGGAGGTGAGCCTAGCTCTGCTGTCCTTTCTCGACGTGCCCGCCCTGGCCCGCTTCTCCCTCGTCTCCCGCGCCTGCCACCGCCTCGCCCTCGACCCTGCCCTCTGGTCGCCTCCCCCTTCACCTCTCCTTCCTTCACCCTCCCTCCTTCTCTTTCTGTGTCTGTGTCGACACTCATGTTTGGGGGGGGGGGCGACATTGCGCCGCACCGCGGGTGCAGGAAGGGCCTGTGCGAGCGGGAGATGGCGGCATGGCCGTGCCACCGGGCCTTCATCGGGCTGGCGGCGGAGGCCCTGCTCGCGGCCCATCGACGCGCAGCGGCCCTGGGCGAGTGGGTCGACCCGGGTGCCGGGCTGTGGCCGCAGCCCTTCTCGTGGCGGGCCTTCTTCCGTTGCGAGGCGCTCCACCCCTGGCCCGAGGGCAGGTAGCGTGGCCTGTGCGAACGACCCGCGCTCGGCTCGCGCTGACGATCGTCGGGCGCGTCCAGGTTCTATCTGCGGCAACAGCTCGGTGGCGGCTCGTACGGCTCACGGTTCAAGGCGCTGGAGAGGGAGACTGAGCGCGTGGTGGTCATCAAGTACTTCCTACACACACACACACACACGACACATGGCCCACACGACACAGACCTACCTCCATAGCGTTGCAGGTGGTGCTGATACAATTGCATTATTGCATTATTGCGTGGGTGTGAGTCAGGTGGATCAACATCGAGGAGGAGCAGAACAGCCTCGAGGAAGGGAGGCAGGTGGTGCTCGTGGAGGACGAGGCCAAGAGGAAAAAGATCTTCGAGGAGAAGGAGGCCCTGGCTGCCCGGCTCATGCCCGTCACCTGGCGTACGCTCTACCGCCTCTCTGTCGCCTGAGCAAATGCGCATTTGGAGTGACACACAACACACACACACACACACACACACACACACACACACACACACACACACACACACACACACACACAAAAGGGTCGAAGCAATTACCTAATGTGTTCGGTCTCTATTGGCGGCCGACCACTGACACCATCTGCCTGTCGCGAGAGTGTGCCCCGCGCACGCTCGATGAAGAGGTACGCAGCGCTGCCACACGTCCGCCCTGGTTGGCTGGCGCTCTGAGTCCCTCTCCCCCTCTTCACCAGTTGGAAGAGACGAACGGTCAGGCAGACGAGGGGCGAATTGCAGACGTCGTGCGGGATGTGCTGACTGGATTGGTGGACCTGCAGACGGCGGTGCGTGTGTGTCGTGCGTGTCGTGCGTGACACGCGCTAACGATCTGTGGCTCTATGGTTCAATGCGTAGTGCGGGGAAAATGTTGTGGCGGGCATCAATCTCGATTGGAACAAGCTCCTGGTGGCAGACGACGGCCACACCATGATCAACATCGACCAGATCTTCTACCCATGCGCCGTACGTGGCCCTCTACCTTTTGGTGCCTCTCGGATCGCTCGCTCACCCGCGCTACGCAAACAATACTATCAAAACCCTACGCGGGGGGGGGGGAACGAAGAATGCTCGCCCGTACTACATCTCGCCCGAACTGATGCCCGGCACGACAATTGATGTGGAGGGCGAGTGCAGCAGTGTCAATCGGACCCACATCTGGGCCGTGGGCCTCATTGCCATCCAACTGGCCACCGGCGCCCTGCCCATGGAGTACACACATGACACACACGACACGTGACACGACATGCGACTCCCTTACTGACGGGGCGTACGTCGTCGCGTTGGTGTGGTGTCTGCCAGGCACATGCACCCGATTCGCTATCTGTCCCGCTACGACCAGTTGGCGCCGCGCGGGCTCGATGGCCCGCACTCGCCCGAGCTGAAGGACCTGGTGCGCCTGTGCCTCGAGCGCCAGCCCCAACGCCGACCATCGGCCCACGAGCTCCTCCGCCACCAGTTCCTCGCCGACGTAAGGCGTGGCCGCGCCTCTCCTACTCGGCCGACCAACTAAAGAGCTCCCGCTGTCCAGGATCTGCTTGTAAATAGGAAAGTGTTTGTTATCATATATACATAACATACATACACCACTCGCGACCACGAGCTGTGCGGCTAAGTCGACAGATTATAGTGTCGACGGATTTAACGAAGGCAACTTGCAGGGTGTTGGCTTGGGTGAGACACAGAACAACGACGAGAGAGATGGCGAAGACGCAGGCGCAGCTGGAGGAGGAGATTAAATCGGTGTACGAGCAAATCGAAGAGTACAAGCGCAAGTACCATGAAGAGGTAGAACTCAAGCGAGAGCGCGAGGAGGAGCTGCGGAAGAAGGAGGACCAAGCGGCCAGCGCTGGGACTCTCGCGAGTAGTACTTCGGGCAGCAGTAGCACTACGACTGCCTCGTCGGCTGCAGCTGCCCCCGCGTCGCCGTGGCGCGCGGCCGTTCGATTGAGCGGCTCTCCCTCGGTCTCCTCCAACTCGTCGCCGAGCTCGTCCACCTCAACCACCCCCCACGCCAGCAACGACAGCGTGCCCACCCGTCGGCCACTCTCGAAGAACGAGGAAGAGTTGAAGAAGGACAAGAAGGAGAAGAAAGACAGGAAGGAGAAGAAAGAGAAGAAGGAAAAGAAGAAGCACAACAAGAGTCTCACTCGCCACAGCTCGGGCGCTGTGCCCACCACGGCACCTTCTTTGCCGATAGGGGGCGAGGCTGCGGCAGCCGCTACGGCGGTGGCGGAGAAGACCTTCACGGTGAGGTCGCTCCAAGCCCACAAGGCCACCTCCAAGAACGAGCTCTCCTTCGCCAAGGGCGTCACCATCACCGTCATCGAGGAGAACAAGACGGACGATCTGTTCAAGGGCCAAATCGGCAAGAAGGAGGGCTGGTTCCCGTCCTTCTACGTTGTGCGCACGTAGGGGAAGACTTGCACACAAATGTATTACTTTCTTGCATTGAGGCACAGGCCCTAGTACTTGCCGTACAGAGTGTACGCGTTGATGAGCCCCGTCAGAACGCTCAGCCCGGCCACTACGCCTGCTGGAGACGAAAAGAATGTTGGATGAAAGGAGAAGAGGGAGAAGGATGGTGCTTTGCAATAAGGGTGGGCCTGCTTCAGCACCTACCTGGCATGACCTTGCCGGAAGCGAGGAAACGGCGACCCATCGCCACAGCGAGGATGATGCTGATCACCACTGCCGCAAGGTTGCCGCCAATCTGGTAGGGCTCCATCCACAGCGTGGAAAGGCCATAAAGGGCACCACACGTGACGCCCGCGACCAGGCTGGGCACCGAACGTGCCTTGGCATAGCCCATGGCACCGCCAGCCGCCACCAATCCACCCACCACAAGCGTCCACACCTGCGCCATCTTTTTGTTGCTATTTATAATCTTTGTTTTTTTCCTCGCTTTTTTGCTTCCCCCACCAGTGTGGTGTGCGGCGAGCAGACAAGACTGCATTTACAGCGGGGAACGTTTACTTGGTCAAAACAGAGAAGATGTTGGCTACCTTCTTGCGGTCGAGCTGCTCGGTGGTCTTGATTTGCCTGGCCTGGTTGAGCTCGGTCACGGGTAGCGTGACGAGGTCGTCCTCGGTCTTCCACCCCTCCTGCTTGGCCACGAACTCGTCGAGCGCGGCTCCGTTCAAATGCACGGCCGACGCCAGCACGTCCACGGGCACACTCTGGTACGCCACCGTCAACACGCTCACGGCAACTGCACAGCACACACACACACACGCCAGGGCACAGCACATTAATCAGCTCAGGGTACGTCGCTGGCTCCCACACACACAAGAAGAACGCCACCGAGACGCGCAAAGCTTTGAAGAAGCCGTACAGCTTTGGATGGCCTCGCGGAAGCCGGGGAAGTTCTTGAGCAGAACAGAAGTGGCGCTGTCCTCCTCGAACAGCGTCCAGAAGCCGGTGAACTGGGCCGTCTCGAGCAGGTTGGACACCTTCTTCAGAGCGGCAACGCCTTCATTTTGGTGCTACGCGTGCGAAAGAAAATGGAGATTAATGAAATGCAGATGGTGCCCGATTGGAGCGGAAACGGAATCACGGGATTGGGGGCATACCGCGGCCTCGGGGAGAACGTAGAGGCTGAGGGGGAAGTCCATGTGGGGCAGATTCATGAGTGCCTTGATCAAGACCTTCTGCACGACATCGATGTCGATGTGGGAAGGATTGAACTGGAAGATCTTGAGGAGGGCGAGGTTGGCCTCGAAATCGTAGGAGCGCTGGTCGATCTGCTCCTGAAGGTAGGCCTTCAGCTGTGGCAGGGAGTCCAGCGAGTAGCGGCCCTTCTTCAGCACTTCCGTGATCTCCTGCTTCCTCTCGCTGCTCATGATGTCTGGCTCGCTATTTAATCGGCTGGCGAATGTGGTGTGAAGATTGCGATTGCAGAAGAAGAAATCAGGAAAACAAAGAAAAAACAAGAGGAGCCCAGGAAAAGTGAAGGAAGTGGTTTTGCAGAGAACACCCAAGCCCACACGGCCGCAGCAGTCGCATCCATTCGCCTCAACATCCTTTCCTTGCACTCTCCATCCAAGCACCGCAAAAGCGAAGATATATCATCGTAAATCGATTGCCCAGCATGGAGACACGGAAAAGACCCCAAACGAACAACAGCACAAATGCGCGTAGCGAGGAAGGCCGCGAGAGACGCCGAGGCGGCGGCAGTGGAGCCGCTGCTGGAGAGGGCGGCAACCGGCGCGCAGCTCCCCGTGATCAGCAGCCGCAGCAGCAGCAATCGCGTGGCGGCTACGACCGGTGCTCGAGGAGGAGGAGGCGCGTCGGGCCGAGGCCGAGGCGGCAAGACCACCCACGCCGGCAGGGACGCCCCCACTCCCTCCCCCTCGCCCGCTGCCGCTGCCGCGCCCGCCCCCAGCGCAGTGGTTCGCGCGGCACTGCCTTCCAAGCCCGCCCCGTGGGCCGTGCGTGCCGCCCCGCCGCTGCTGCCCCTGCGCCCGCTGCCGCTGCCGAGGCGTCGCCTGCCGCGGCGGCCCCGGTGACTGCCGGCTCGACCGCAGCGCCGCTGCCAGTGACGACGGAGGCGGTGGTGGCTGTGCCCCTCCCCGCGTCGCCTTCTTCCGGCGAGCAGCCGCTGGGACCGGTCGCAGTCGCGGTCGTGGCTCCCGCGCCGTCGTCGTCGGCAAAGGAGGCGCGGCTGGACGAGGTGGCGGGCCTGTGCCTGGGCTCCTTCGAGGCCACCGAGCTGCCCACGGCCCGCTCGCCCATCGTTCCGTCCCCCTCCTCCCCGCTCCCCGAGAAGGAGGCCCCGCCAGCCGCCCCTGCCACGTCGCCCGCACCCGCACCCGCATCGACCGCCGCCGCCGTCGCACCGTCGCCAGCGGAGACTACCAATGGCCATGTCACCAGCCCGGCGACGACGTCCACTGACGACTCAACACCGGCGACCGCCGCCGCACCGCATGTGACTGCCGAGAACGGGGCGTCGTCGGCTGCGCCGGAGGTGGCGGTGCGCAAGCCGGTGGTGAACGCGTGGGGCAAGGGTGCCCCGGCCATCCTCCAGAAGTACATGGAGGCCCAAAAGAAAGCGGCGGCCCAGCAGCAGCAGCAGCGCCCGCCCGCGCCCACCGCCGCGGCCGCTCTCCGTAAGTGATCGCATCAATATCCCCCCCCCTGATGATTGGTAGCGATTGGCCAGGAGCACTCACGCCACGTCACGCCACGCGCAGGGCATTTCGACGAGGTGCGGCTCATGTGGGACGCTTCCTTCGCGCACGCCGCCCTCCGCGGCCTCCACAACGAAGGCAACACGTGCTTCCTCAACGCGGTACGCACCCCCCCCCTCTCTCCTCCTAACTCGGTTTCTTTCCAAGCGGCAGCCACACATGCCTGAGGGAAGCTGGGCTGCTGTCTCACTCGGTTCTCTCTCTTCTCTTCTTTTTCTTGTTCGTCACACACACAGACGGTGCAGTGCCTGCTGGCGTGCCCTCCCTTCATCGGCTTCCTGCGCAGCCTCAGGGGCCGCGGCTTACCGTGCCCGGCTCCCACCCTCACTGAGCTGTACGTGCCCGTGCGCGGGATCACTGTCCTCGAGTCTCCCATCATCATCTGCGCAGCGACACGACACGACACGACCAACGACACGGCACGACACACACTACACACACGACGCACAATCATAGGGGATTGAGTGATGGGAGGCTTACCGGGTGGTGGGGCGGTGGTTGAACTCTTCATGCGTAGGGTGCGATTCGCGGAGGCGTTCGAGCTGGAGAAGAAGGCCAACACGCAGCTGGTGCCCCTCGCGGCCAAGGCGCACTTCGCGGCGGTCATCAAGAAGCTGGCCGGCACCCCCGGCCGCCAGGAGGACGCCCACGAGTTCCTCTCGCTCCTCCTCGACACCGTCCACGAAGGTACCTCTCTCTACCTGGCGCGCGCACTGTCGACACAAATGAATCTTTGATCGAAAACGCTGACCAACCTGGGCGCCCAATCGGCAGAGCTGCGAGCCGGTTCCGCCAAGGCGCGGGCTGGCGGCGGCAGCGGCGAGAGCGGGGCCCACCACAAGACGGCCGCCCACAACGAGACCAACGAGTGGAACGAAGTGGGGCGCAAGAACAAGACCTCCAAGCTCCGAACGGTACCACTTCCATCTCGTGTCGTTGGTCGTGTGCGTGTGCGTGTGTCGTGTACACACCTGTTTCTCACCGGGACATTGCGCCAGGCCGAGTTCGAGGACACGGCGGTGACGCGCATATTCGGTTGCAAGCTCCGGTCGTGCCTCAAGTCGCGGGGCGCCAAGCAGTCGATCACGCAGGAGCTCTTCAACGCCCTGCCCCTCGACGTGTCGGTCCACCAGATCCGCTCCCTCGACGACGCCCTCCTCGGCTTCATGTCCGCCGTACGCCCCGCCCCCCTCGCCCCGCTGTCGACTTATTTTCTGGGCTGATGACTGACAGCGCACGCACGCGCACGCGCAGGAATCGCTGGACTGGGAGGTGCGGGCGTCGAAGGAGTACAAGTTCGAGCGCATGCCGGGCGTGCTGGTGGTCCACCTCAAGCGCTTCGCCTTCAGCGCCGCCGGGGGCGACAAGATCGCCAAGCACATCGAGTTCCCCGAACGCCTCGTCATCCCCACCAGTACGTATCTCGTCCGTCTTCTGGAGCTATTGTGTGTGTGTGTGTGTGTGTGTGTGTGTGTGTGTGTGTGTGTGTTGGTGTCGTGTATGCGTGTGTGTTGGTGTTCACCCCGTGGTCGACGGAACAGAGTTGTTGGGGCCGCACGCGGGTGGCAGCGAGAAGGAGCGGAGGAGCTACGACCTCTTCGGAGTGGTGGAGCACCACGGCCACACCCTCCAGAGCGGACACTACACCGCGTCCATCAAACGCGACCAGCACTGGTACTACTACTACCCGTGTTGTGGTTGTGCCGCGGCTGCAATGCACCTCACTAACGCGCGTCTCGTGTGTGTGTTGTGTGTGCGCGCGCGCAGGTATCACGTGGACGACACGACCATCAACCCGACGACCATCCAGACCGTGCTGCGACGACAGGCCTACCTTCTCTTCTACCTCCGCGCCTCCCCTTCTTCCTCCTCCCACTGATGTACATCAACCACGCAATCAACCACAATCCCATTTCTCTTTCCCTCTTCACGCTGGCCCTGTGGTGGTTTCTCGTTTCTTTCCTCTTTGCATTCCCTGAATGCCATCCGTTTGGGTCTTGGGTGGGGGCAAGTACTTGTACACCACCACCAACTGACCAACCAATGAAGAAGGCTGGGTCCAAGGCTGTGCCAACAGCGCGCGGTGGTCCCAAAGGCAAGGCCGTGCCGGGCAAGAAGTTGCGGTTGCTAGATACCCCCCCCCCGCCTCTCTTCTCTTTTTCGCCGCTGTTGGTTGCATGCTTGGGGGCTGACTGTCTCCTCCGTCGGCGGCTGCTGCTCCGGACCACACCAGAGAGCCGGCGGAGGTGCAGGCCGGGCTGTTCATGGGGTCGCAGCGGAGTTCGGGGAATGTGGACTACCTCCGCAGCCTCAACATCACCCACATCCTCTCCGTCGGCGTCGACACCCTCCACCCCACCGTACCGCTTACTCTCACGCCCCGGCAGTTCTCCTGTTGGCGTGGCGTCCTGCAGCCAGGCTGATTTGGCGTGTGCGTCGTGTCCGCGTGTGCGTGCGTTCATGTGCGTGCGTGTGGTGCGTTGACTACGCACAGGAGTTCACGCACAAGCGCATCAAGGGCCTGCAGGACGCGGACACGAGCGACCTCCTTTCGCGACTCCCCGAGTGCATAGCCTTCATCGAGGAGGCCCTCCAGGCCGGCTCCGGCGTGCTCGTGCACTGGTAAGCCCCTCCCCACCCCCAAAGAGCAGCCCCTGCTAATCCCTCGCCGGGCCATCTCTCGGTGGTGAACGATGGCGATGACGACGAAAGTCTGAGACGTGGTGCCTTTGCGTGGAATGGTGGGTGCGCAGCCAGGGCGGCATCAGCAGGAGCGCGGCGGTCGTGGTTGGCTTCCTCGTGCACAGCAACCGGGACCTGTCGGCCAACGAGGCCCTCGCCCTCCTCCACCAATCCCGACCCAGTTAGCCCCCCCCTCCCCTCCTATACGGCGACTTCTTTTTGCTGAAGACCCTTCCTGTGGTTCGTTCATTGCAGCCGCCCGCCCGCGGCCGGCCTTCCTGGAGCAGGTGGAGGCCTATCGGCGCTCTCTTCTCGCCACCGCCTCGGCCCAACCACCACCAACGACCAAATGATACACGACACACACGACACACGACACACGACGACACACACGACACACAATATAAATAAATAAATACCTGTCAAAAATACAGCGCACCACGCGGACAGCGCACTCTCTTCGTTTCGTGCTCGGCATCGTCGGTAATCGTCTTCACTCTGCACCCTCACCCGTGTCCTTTCCCTCGTCGTCGCCGCCACCCCGCCGCTCTCGCGAAGACCGGGCCAGGGGGCTGTTTGCTCCCTCATAGGGCGTGGGCGTTCCGGAGCCCCGCTTTCGGCCGACGGCCACCCAGCCCCCCGGCGCGATGGGCAGCGGCAATGGCGGCACCTGCAAGTCCCGTTTCTTCGGCCCGCATCCCATCAGGAGCAGCGTGAAGTCCTTCTGCAGCTTCATGTCCGCCAGCAGTTCCTGTACATTCATCGTCGAGGCTGCACACGAGCACACGCTCGAGGCCATCAGCACGACACGCACGCACGGCACACGCACCTAAGAGGCGACGTACCGAGGTCGCGATGGCCGGTGCCCATGGCCAAGATGCACGGCCCGAACACGGTGGCGAGGTTCTCGGGGCTCATCTTGGTCCGCTCGACCACTTTGGGCGGCAGCAGCTTGGTGTGCATGAAGTCGAGGATCGTGTCGATCACGTCGCCATGCAGCGGTGGCAGGCCGTCCACCAGATCCCGCGCCTCCTGTGAGGTCTTGGCCTCCTGGCACGCCGCTCTGCACAATATTTTTACGGCCATCGTCATCAACGGCCGCCACCAATCGTCAGCCGCACACATCGTGAGCACCCTCTATCGATGATAATTATGACGGTGCGATGGTGTACTTGAGGCCAGGGGGTATGAGCGGCTGGCTGAGGCTCATGAGCCACAGCTTGAGCACGGAGGCCACCACGTGCGGGTCCGTCCCCTTGGCGATGTGGTACGACCCCTCGTTTAGCCTGTGCGTAGGTGAGCGCGTCAGTTTTTAACAGATTGTTAGAATTATTATCATCATTACATCATTATTGTCATCATGATTAGAGGATACAAGGGAGGAATGGTGGTGGTGAGGGTGTACCGATTGATGAGGTTCTCCTCTTCGGTCTGCTTGCCCGAAAGGCGGAAGATGCCCTCGCAGTCGAGCCCACCCAGGTCTTGGATGGCCCGCAGGAGGCACGTGAGGATGTACGGCACCTGTGTTCCTCCCGCGCCTGAGGGACGATCGCACGTCAGTCGTCAATGCCGATCAACGTCATCAGAGTGGGGAGGGAGGGAAGGAAGCGATATTTGAGGAGTCTCCTCACCTTTAGAGGTGTTGTTTTGACGGGTCTGCTCCACCTTGAGCACTTCGTCGAGGGTGGTGCGGAACACGTCGCCCTCCAGTACGGGCCTCCTGCTCGCGTGTGACCCCGAGCTCTCCTGCAACGCTGCCAGCTCTTCTCTCCACAAATAAATCAAAACAAGTAAAAATAATATAAGAAAGAAAACAATAAGATGACAGCGTCGGGTTGCGCTGGAGTGGAGCTGGAGGGCGGGTACGGTTTTGTGAGGTGGAGGTTGATGTCGACGTGGATGTTGAAGTAGCGGAAGAGGTCTGTGCGGCCTCGGCGCGGGGCTTGAGAGTCGAACGCGAGGGTGCGAAGAGGTGCGATCGCTGCTGGCTGCCCAGCCCCTTGATCAGGGTGCGCGAGAGGCGCAGGCTCTTCTTCAGGGACATGCCCATGGTCGCCGTACTGGGCGGCGAGGCCGGGGCGTGGAAATAGGTGCCGCTGTTGAGGGAGCCGGGGGAGCTGTGGCGGTACTGCAAGGGCGCCACCTCGAACAAAGGGGGCGGGGCGGGGGCGGGGGTGGGATTCCTGGCGACACACCCGCCTCCAACAACATGTTCGAGATTTCTGCTCCTGATGGCCTCACTATTTTGGAGGTGCTTTTCTTTGTCTTCTTGTTGTCTGATGTTGTCTCCATTATGGCCTCCTCTGTTCAGGCTCCGTGTTGATGCGTTCCTTTTGGCCCGGTAAATCGATGAACTTCTCCCACACCTCAGGCATGTGGTCTGTGGTCTTTTCGCTTAAAACGGGCAACAGGCACTGTTTACCTTATAAGTCCAGCAGCACGCAGGAAGAAAAGAGCAAATTAATAAATAATTAAATAATTAAATTCTTCTTGTGTTGGATGGTGTGGCTGCTGCTCCTGGCTGCCCTCGCGCTGGTGGCGTTGGGGTGGTGCAGCAGCCACCACTGGCAGGGGTGGTTCCACCGGTGGCGGGTGGGGCGCTACTACGCCACCACCCACCTGCGCACCCACCAACTTCGTCGAGACCACAAGCCCAGTACTCGAACGAGTACCACCCCGCCCTACCGGGTGGGCCATATCGTGCGGTGCGACTACCGGGACTCGGCCTCTGCGCCGCCCGCCCGCAGCGGCAGCCTCCGCATCGTCTCGTGGAACATTGAGTTTGGGTGCAGGTCCCCCCTCCCACAGCTCTCGTTTCTGGAATGCCAAGAATGATGGCTGACGTTGGCGCGCGTGGGCCTTGGGTGCGTGGAGCTACAAGCTGGCCGAGGTGGTGACGGAGCTGCGGAGGCTCGACGCCGATGTTGTGCTCCTGCAGGAGGTGGACTGGTGCCACGCACCCGATGACGCCCCGACGCCCTTCACCCACGACGCCTTCCACGAGATCGCCTCTGCGCTCGGCCTCGCAGGCATCTGGGCTCCGCACTACGCCTACCAAGGTACCGCCCACCTCTCCTCCTCCTTTCTTTTCCATTTCCTTCTCCACCCGCTGATCGACGGTGTGCTGTGTGTCGTGTGTGCGGCACGGTTGCGATTGCGGCACAGGGGAGGGGCATCGGGGCGCGTGGGGCAATGCCATCCTGACGAGGTTCGCCATCGAGCACGAGCACGACCGCTTTGTGCCCCTCCGCCACCTCTTTGACTACGACCGGTACGCTGACGTCTAGGGGAGTGTATGGGGGAAATGGCGCTTGATTGCTGATCAGCGGTTGATGATGACGTGGAGTGCGTTAGGTCGGCTTTGTCGACCATGGTACGACTGCCCCATGGAGGCGGGCGCCTGTGCGTGTGCAGCGTGCACCTCGAGGTGTGCTGCGGGATCTCAGTGCGCGTGCGCCAATTTGAGCGGGTCGTCAGGCACCTTCAGGTACGCCCCCACGTGCATTCACGGGCGCTGGGTTCAGCTGCCTGACGAGAGGCTCTCTCTTTCTTTGTGTGTGTCGTTCGTCGTGTGTCGTGTGTGTCATATGTGTAAATAAATCTATCCCGCGCTTGCTTGGCCCCACAACCAGAGCTACGAGCTCGGAGACGAAGACCGGGTGGTGATCGGCGGCGATCTGAACACATTCGGGCACGGCCTACTCCGCCTGTCCCCGTTCCACTGTAACGACGCCTATCGCTTCCGCTCCCTCTTCTACGAGGAGGCCCAGGTAAGCACCTATCATGATGGCTCCTTTGTGTGCGTGTGCGCGTGCGCGTGCGTGCGTGTTTGCGGGTCTTATGCGTGCGTACAGCCGCACCAAGCCACGATCAATTGAAGCGAGGGCTGACCGAGGCTGTTTCACAACAGTGGTGGGAGGAGAGGGTGCTGCCGGCGCTGTTGAAGGGCCGGGGCACGGCGCTGGCGCGACTCGCTGACCCGTTCGAGAAGAGCGCGCAGCACACCCTGGCGGGCGGACCCATGGGCGTGTTCGCGGGCAAGCTCGATTGGCTCTTCCTCGACCCCGCCGCCCTGCCCGTGCTACGCACCGCCGTCGGCACCGGCACCCAGTCGGACCACGCCTGGATCTCTGTCGACGTCAGCATCCCTCTTAAGCTCTGAAATGTGTTTTCCTCATCTTTTCTTTTTCTTTGCTGTCGCCGATTTGCAGTACTGCGAAAGTTCCACCGCAGCCAACCAGGCAGTCTGACCACCAAACCACCGGAGAGAGACCAACCATGGCGTCGCTGCAAGCTACCGCGCCGACCAAGGTGGGGTGCGGGTGCGGGTGCCCCGACTGCCGGTGCCTCGCCCCGCCGGCCGCTGCCCCCACGGCCGAGAATTTGAAGAAAAAAGTAGACCCCTACGGAAGCGGTGATGCCGTGCGTCACGACGGCGGCGACAAAGACGACGAGACTGCCGCCCTCCTCCTCTCGTCCGGAGCCGTGGCCAGGCGGTGCGCGTGTTGCTGCGCCCGCTGCCAGCACGACACTCGCGACAATGACGACGACGATGAGTGCAACTCCGACGACGAAGATGATGATGACAACGAAGGCAGCGACCATGACCAATCGCGAGGCGAGGTCGTGGTGGCCGTGTGGCCCGTGGCCTGCGGCGGCTGCGCGGCCGTCGTGCGGTCCGTGGCCGAGCGTCGCCTGGCCCTCGCCGGCTACCCGCCCACCGCCCAGGACCCCAAGGGCAAGGCCAAGGCCCATGGCCAGTCCGCCTCGACCGCCGCCAGTCGGGTGCGGGTCGGCGAGGGCGGCCACGCGGCCGTCCGGGTCGAGCTCTGCGGCGGCCTCGACGCCGACGAGGCGGCCCGCGAGGTGGGGCGCGCCCTGGCGGCCGATCTGCGCGGGGCGGGCTTCACGTCGGCCGAGGTGGTGCCCCACACCGACGCGGCGCCCCTCCTGCCCACGCCCTCCCGCCCGTCCCTCTTCTCCGCCGCGTCGGCCCAGGCCGCCCGCCGTCCCGCCTTCCTCTTCTCCGTTCAGGTGCGCACCACACGCACACGCACTCCCTCGCTCTTAAGGTGGCTGCAACTGATCGCGTGTCGTGTCGTGTTGTGTGCTGTGCGTCGTGTGTGCGCGCGCGATAGGGAATGACGTGCGGCAGCTGCGTGGGGATGGTGGAGACGGCCCTCTCGAGCGTGAAGGGCGTCGTGGTGGCCCGCGTGAGCCTACGCAAGCACGCCGCCATCGTGCTCGTCGACACCCGCCTCAGGTACCGGCCACCATCATCATTAGGTGTTGCCCAACAGGTGGGCGTGACGTGGCACAAGAAGCTCATCTCGTGATTGCGCGCGTACCGTGCAGGATGGGAGACGACGCCGAGGAGGGCTTCGACGAGGCGGCGGTCGCGGCGGAGCTCGTGGCCGCCGCCGAGGAGCTGGGCTACGCCGTGGCCCGCCTCCGTCCGGAACCTTCCGACGACGGTGCCGCCGCTGCTGACCCGGGCCTCGTGCGCCACCTGCGGCGCCTGGCCCGCCGCGCCCTGCGCGAGGCCAAGGCCAAGGCCCAGCCCGACCCATTCGCCACCCTCGACCACCCATTGGCCGGCGGCCGCCAGGAGAACGATGATGACGACGACGAAGACGAGGCCGCCGCCACTGGCGGGTCGGCCGCGCCGGCGATGAAGGACACGGTGTTCTTCCGGGTGGAGGGGATGACGTGCGCGTCGTGCGTGGCCATGCTGGAGAACGTGGTGCGCCACCTGCCGGCGGTCACGCGCGTGAGCGTGAGCCTCATGACCGAGGAGGCCGAGGTCGAGTACGTGCCGCACGCCGGCACCACGCCCGACGCCATCCGCGAGGCCATGGCCGACCTGGGCTTCACCGTCACCCGCCTCGACAAGGCCGTCCAGGGCCAGGTACGAGGCCACATAGACCTCATCGCATGAAGGAGCAAGGTGGTGGTGGTGGTGGTGGTGGTTTGGGGTGGAGGGGTATCCACGTCATTAACATGGTCGATGACGTGGCGCAGGTGACGCTGCTGGTGGAGGGGATGCACTGCGCGTCGTGCGTCAACAAGATCGAGACCGCCCTCATGAAGCACCCGGCCATCATTGCCGCCTCCGTCAACAACGTCACCAAGCAGGCCAAGGTTCCCTACAACCATCGCAACACATTTGATTTATGATTGGGACCGGGGCAAATGATCGAATTCTGGTTGGCGCTTTGGGGGGGCACATGTGCAGGTGGAGTTCGACAGTACAAAGCTGGGGGTGCGTGACGTGGTGGAGCTGATCGAGCGGACCGGTCCCTACGCGGCCCAGCTGGCCCGGCCCGAGGGCAGCGTGGAGGCCCTCAAGCGCGAGAAGGAGATCCGCAAGTGGCGGCTCAGCTTCTTCGCCAGCCTGGCCTTCACGGCGCCCCTGGTGTTCATCAGCATGGTGCTGTCGATGCTGATCGAGCCCACCCACGAGATGCTGCAGCAGGACTACTTCGTGCGCAACCTCTCCATCGACGCCGTCGTCCAGTGGGCTCTCGCCACCCCCGTCCAGTTCTGGATCGGCTGGGACTTCTACGTCGCCTCCTACAAGGGTACCGTACCGTGCTTCCCCCCCCCAAATACCTATGCGTTTGTGTGTTATAGCATATTATGTTTGCTACTTATTATTATTATTATTATTATAAGCATGTGTCGACACGCTGATGTGGTGGATTGGTGGTGGTGGGGGGGATGTAGTGTTGAAGCACGGGAGCGCGAACATGGACGTGCTGGTGGCGCTGGGCACGTCGGCGGCCTACTTCTACTCGGTGCTGGGGATCGTGCTGCACCTGCTCGACGACAACTTCACCTCCCACCTCTACTTCGAGACGTCCGCCCTCCTCATCACCTTCATCATGCTTGGCCGGTACACACGAACGACACACATGATGCGTGGCTGGAGCTGTAGGCCCCCAATGGTGGCGGCGGTGCATGAACGAATTGATGAATTGCGGGTCTGTAGGTACCTGGAGAACGTGGCCAAGGGCAAGACCTCGGAGGCCATCACGAAGCTCCTGTCCCTGCAGGCCCCCACCGCCATCCTCCTCACCACCACCCCCGCCGCCGCCACGGTACGTACACCCTCCCCCTCCCCCGCAATGCGCAGTCCGCGCCGTTGCCTGACAATGAGTCGTGTGTGTGTCGTGTGTGCCGTGCCGTGTGTCGTGTGGTCGGTGCTCGCAGGAGGGCGGGTACGAGGTGGTGGGCGAGCGGGAGGTCGACGCCAATCTGGTGCAGCGGGACGACCTCCTCAAGGTCCTCCCGGGCGCGCACATCCCGGTCGACGGCCGCGTCACCCACGGCCGCACCACGGTCGACGAAGCCATGATCACCGGTACGCGACACGACACGACACGACACGACACGACACGACACATGCGCTGCTGCTGCACACCACACGCGCGGCTCAAGCGTCGGCGTGACAGGCGAGGCGCTGCCGGTGACCAAGGCGGAGGGGGACGAGGTGATCGGGGGCACCATCAATCAGGCCGGCCTCATCCACGTGCGCGCCACCCGCGTCGGCGCCGACACCGCCCTCGCGCGCATCGTGCAGCTCGTGCAGGAGGCCCAGACCTCCAAGGCCCCCATCCAGGTACCTCTACGCGTGCGGCGCGGTGCGTGTCATTGCGTGCGTGTTTCACAAACCCGTGCACACACACGCAACACAGGCGTTGGCCGATCGGATCTCGGGTGTGTTCGTGCCGGTGGTGCTGGGCCTCGCGCTGCTCACGTTCGGTACGTGGTACACGCTGTGCCTGACGGGCGTGGTGCCGGAGGCGTGGATCGAGGCCGGCGCCGACGCCTTCCTGTTTTCGTTCCTATTCGCCGTGTCGGTGGTGGTCATCGCGTGCCCGTGCTCGCTCGGCCTCGCCACCCCGACCGCCGTCATGGTGGGCACCGGCGTCGCCGCCCAGCTGGGCGTGCTGATCAAGGGCGGCGCGGCCCTCGAGACGGCGCACAAGGTGAGCGCCATCATCTTCGACAAGACCGGCACGCTCACCCACGGCAAGCCCGTCGTGACGGACCTCCTCCGCGTCGACGACGCCTGCGCCCAGCTCGACCTCGACGAGCGCGCCTTCTTCACCCTCGTCGGCGCCGCCGAGAGCGCCAGTGAGCACCCGCTCGGCCGTGCCATCCACGCTCACGCCCTACGCGCCCTGGCCGACGCGCCGACAACGGCCACGGCGGCGGCGGCGCTGCCCCAGCCGCGCGATTACCAGGCCATACCGGGCCGCGGGCTGAGCTGCCGCGTGGGCGAGTACGGGGTGTACATCGGCAACCGGCTCCTGATGGGCGACCACGCCTTCGCCATCCCGGAGCGCGTCGAGCGCTACATGAGCTCCCTCGAGGAGCAGGGCAAGACCTGCATGCTCGTCGCCCTCCTGCGCGACTCCAACGGTTCCTCTCCCCACCACCACCAGCCACCACCACCACCACCACCATTCGTTTGGTGCCAAAGGCGTCCAACGATGATGGTGCCGATGATGACAATGCGGCGTGTGGCGATGATGCAGAGTTGGAGCGCGAGGTGGCGGGCTGCATCGCGGTGGCGGACACCATCAAACCGGAGGCGCCGCTGGTGGTGCAGCACCTGAAGCGGATGGGCATCCAGGTGTGGATGGTCACCGGGTACGCACGCCCACCGCACCCCAATTAAAGCCATAGACACGCCGTCGGCTGATGATGATGAGCTCACACCAACCTCCCGCACGCGCAGTGACAACCGCCGCACGGCGCAGGCCATCGCGCACCAGGTGGAGATCACGGACGTGTTCGCCGAGGTGCTGCCCTCGAACAAGGCGGCCAAGGTGAAGGAGCTGCAGGCGCAGGGTCACACCGTGGCGATGGTGGGCGACGGCATCAACGACTCGCCCGCGCTGGCCCAGGCCGACCTGGGCCTCGCGGTCGGGGCAGGTACCGACGTGGCCATCGAGACGGCCGACGTGGTGCTGATGCGCAACGATCTGGCCGACGTCGTGACGGCGATCGACCTCTCCACCAAGACCTACCGGCGCATCAAGCTCAACTTCATGTGGGCCTTTGGCTACAACGTCTGCTGTACGCCAGCCCCACCGCCCACCCGAATCCTGTGCCCCCAATGGCCATTTTCATCTCACCACCGCACCACCGCGCACACGCTCATACGCTTGCACACAACACATGCACACACCAACCAGCGATTCCGGTGGCTGCTGGGGTGCTGTACCCGGCCTTCCATATCTCCCTGCCGCCCGCGCTGGCCGGGCTGGCGATGGCGCTCTCGTCCGTGTCGGTGGTGTGCTCGTCCCTGCTGCTCAAGCTCTACAAGAAGCCCGTCCTGTCTGCTGCTCCTCCGGCCTCGCCTTGGCTGCTGCCCTCGTTCTGCCGCCGCCGCCTCACCAGCACCGCACCCTACGCACAGCTGCCCGGCAACTAGGGGAACGCAAGGAGGCGAGAAGCGCATTGTTAGCGGCACGGCACGCACACAACCCAACACGCCGTGGCTTGTACCCCAAACCAGAAGCGCGTGTGGTTTACTACTACGGGGGGTGTGTTGGGGGTGGAGAGAGGCGAGGGACGGGGAAAGGCCAAGAAGGAGGAAGGGCAAAGGGGGATAAATAAAAGAAACAAGTTGGGGAGTGGGACAGCGAAGAGAAAGGGGGCGTTCGAGCACACCAGACCGATGACGATGGTCTGCGGCAGCTCCACCAGCTCCCACTGGAATCTCTCTTCCTTGGCTCTTCCCCCACCGTCTTCTCCGCGCGCGTCGTGATTTCGGTGGTGGGTGGGGTGGTTCTGTCTTGTTTTTACAGCTGATGATGATGATGACGATGGGGGGGGCGACGAGTCCGACCTCCTACTCGCTCTTGTCCTCGAGCTTGGAGGCCGTCCCGTCGTCCGTCTTGTCCTCGTCCTGCGCCCACGACGTTTCGCTGCCCTCCGAAAAGTCGAACTCGTTCGATTCCGCCAGCAGCTCCTCCCGCATTTGCTGCACGACCACCACGACCACCACGACCACCACGACCACCACGACGATGATGATGACGTGTCAGAACTAAAGTCAGAGAAGAGGGGGAAGAGAAGAAGAGGGAGGTGGGGGAGGTGGGTACCTGGAGGGCGAGGAGAGGATTCTTCGTCTTCTTCTCGTTGGAGATGGCCTCGTCGTCGAGGTAGTCCACCTCGGGCTCCATGTTCTGGATGGGCTCCTGCTCCAGCGAGCGGCGGTGCAGGGTGTCCTCGTCAAAGTACATCGCATTCCGGAGCGCCGTCGCCACCGCGCTGTCCCCCTCGAGCGTGTATGGCACCTGGAGATGGTCACGACGCGTCAGACAGAAAGGGGAACGTTACGATTGGCCCCACGTGACGTGTACCGGCGGGAAGGGGGGAAGGGGGGGAGGGGGGAAGGGGAGGTGTGCATGAAGGGCGTGGAATGGAATGGGGGTACCTTGCGGTAGGCCTCGAGCTCGAGGATCTGCTGGCCCAGGAGGACCATCTTTTCAAAGTTGGGCAGCTTGACGTCGGGCTTCTGGGGCATCGGCAGACGCTCCTCGTTACCGTCGTTGATGAACGTCAAATCTCTGCAGAGTTGTGGCGTTGGTCATTTGGGGCCAACGTGCGTTGTTGGTCAGCGACGAGCCCACTTGGCGGGACATGCGTGGGATGGCGGGAGGGGGAGGGGGGGGGGATGGCGGTACCGAAGGAACACGACGAGGTAGGGGACGATGGGCTTCTTGTCCTTGGACTCGGCGAGGAGCTGGCGGTAGTACTTGAAGTTGCCCAGGGGCGTCATCAGGTCCTCCAGCTGGTGGAACAGCTCCACGAACTTGATCGGCACCCTCGCCCACACCTTCTTGAGCCTGACGACGACGACGACGACGACGACGACACGCGCATGTGGCGTTAGCGCCCACCGCGTGCCGATTCGGGGTCCGGTGGGGGGGGAGTACCGAGAGACGGAGGCTCGGTTGAGGCCGGACATGACGGCCATGAGAGAGTTGAAGTTGTTGAGGGAGAAGAGGTGGTGCAGCACGGAGATGAACTTCTTCACGGCTTGCACCTGGGCGTTGACGCCGCCGGCGATGAGGATCTCCGTCGACACCCAGTACGACCACTGGTTGAAGTAGTTGGCCAGGTACGTCAACGTGGGCGCCACTATGGGACACACACGACGCACACACGACACGCAACGAGCGTGAGCCCGCGTGAGTCAAGCAGCAGAATGAGAGGTGGGTGGTGGGGTGGTTACCTTCTTCCTTGTTGGGGCGGGTCCAGTTGCCGAGGAGCATCTCCTCGGGCTTGATCTCACCAAAGGTGTCGGCGTCGAGGATGGTCATCTGCACGGCGAGGGCCTTGGCCGACGTACGCTTGAGGACGATCGTCGACGACGCGCCGAGCGAGTCGCCGGGCACGGCCGGGGCCACCACGCCCGAGCCGGCGGACGCCGTGGGCGAGGGAGGCGGCGCCTCAGTGCCGTTTCCGTTGCTGCTGGCTGAGATGTTGAGCGCGTTCGACGACGAGGTGCCCAGCGTGCTGCCTCCACCTCCCATCACGGGCGATGACGATCCGGCGGCTGCATTGTTATGGTGATGGTGATGGAGGGATTAGATGCGGGCCGTGGTTGTTGGTGGTTGTTGGTGTCGTGGTGGTTGTTGTAACGCGTGCGCTGCTGCTTTGAAGGGAATGGGGATGTGAGTGTGCTTACCCAGCTCCTTGGCGCCCTTCTTGTTGGTCTGGTGTGGTTGTGGTTCCGATTCAGCGCGGTAGCGTCATCAAAGTAGGAATTTGATAATTAAGGGAAGGAAAGAGGTGAAAAGTTGTGTCAGCGGAGGAATCTCCCGCGCAACAGGAGCGGAGGCAAAAGAGAAGAGAAGAGAAGGGAAAGCGGACCTTCTTCCTCATGAGGAGGAGCTTGAGCTGTCGGGACTCCTCGGCGGGGAGGGACTTGACGAAGTTGGTGACGTCCTTGAAGAGCGACTTCTTGTTGGACTCGATGAAGTCGCTGTAGGAGAACCGCCTGATCCACTCCTCCAGGAACGCGATCACACTGCACACGCGCGCGCGCGCACACACACACACACACACACGCAGAGAGAGAGAGAGAGAGCACGGTTGAGTCATGGTCTTGGCCCCACCCGGAACACGCTGGAAATTCGAGCGTGTTGGGTCTTGTGGCTCCCTTGTTCCGGGTGCGGAGGGGGGGGGTGGAGTGGTACCGACGGCGCATGTCCTTGCGTGCGTTTTCCTTGAGGTCCTTCTCGTGGATGATGCGGAAGACGTTCATGAGAGCCTCCCACAGCTCCTGCGGGGTGCCGTAGGCGCGGAAGGTGAGGAGGAACGAGGTGCTGAGATCGCCCACGTTCTGGAAGATGAGCCATTTGACGATGCCCTGGAATGTGCCGGCGCGTAGCGTGGGGCGCCCGTCGGCCATGTCGACCACGACGGCGTCGGCCACCGAGGCCGCCGATGAGCGGCGCAGGACCTTGCGCGGGAGGGGCGAGCCCGTGCCATCGACCTCGTCGCTCTCCGAGTAGGGACCCGAGGCTGAGCCCTCGCCCTCCTCGCCCTCGGCCCATGCGGGGCCATTCGCGGCGGCAAGGGAAACGGCGGCGCGAGTCTGGGCGGAGGTGACCCAGCCATCGAGGGCCTTGAGCTGAGCCATCTTCTGGTCGATTTTCTCCTCCTCGCCCTCGACTCCCGCGGCATCTTCCACCGTTTTGCTGTCCCGCTTGGATTCCTTCTTGCTATCGGTGAGGGCCTTCTTCTCCTTCTTGCTGTCCTTCTTCGGGTCTTTGTCCTTCTTCTCCTTCTTGCTGTCCTTCTTGGCATCTTCGGCCGATTTCTTGGAGAGGGTGGGGGTCTTGCTGCCCTTCTTGCTGCCCTTCTCCGGTGACGAGGGGGGCACTTGCTCCTGCGACAGGAAGGCTTCCCATTTGGCCAGGCCCGTCTTTGATGGCTCTGGTGCCGCCGGTTCCTTCGTCTTCTTCTTGCCGAGCTTCATCATCCCGTGTGGCTATCTATCTATTCTACAAATCAAAATCAAAATCGGAAGATCTGTCTCTCGATCTCCTGTCGCAATCTCTCTCTCTCTTTTGGCCTACTGCCTAATTCCTGTCCTCGGAGCTGCTACGAAGGGGGGCGTGGTCACGTAGCGCGCGGAGAAGTGAGGTGGCGGAGTGCTTTGGCAACCACGCGCTGCGTTCCCAACGTTGTCGGCCTAGTTCTGACAGACGGACTACCACCAGGTGACGACGCCAAGAAAATTGGGGCCAGCGCCAGCGGAGAAGAACCACCGCCACCGCGCAACCTCGGCCCCGAACCCAACGTTGTCCCCTCCCCGCCTCTGTTTCGTCCCCGTCACCCTGACTCCCGGCATTCCACGTGCCCCTGCTCCGCGCTCTGACCCTCCCGCCCGCACAGCCCACCAAAACATAGGGCGATCCGGACAATTTCCCAGCACAACCCACGAGCCCTGCGCGACGGTCTACCGACCCCCCACTGTTCAAGTTCACGCGTGATCTCCGAAATGACATGCTCGGGGGCTTGTGCTGAGGTAAGCTACAACGACCAGGCGAACTAGTAGGCGAGGGCGTCTTGCTGTTCATCGATCACCTGCAGGGCCGACTTTCGGACGAGGCCCAGGAACTGCTGCAGCTGCTCCTGCGTGAACGCCCGGTAGAACTTGTGGTACTCGTCCGCGAGCAGATCCGCCAGTTCCACACTTGCGACCGCACCAGAAGAAAAAACGAAAGACGTCAGGGAGGGGGGCAGCAGCGCAGAGAAACGCAGGTGACGAGGGGTTGTACCTGTCCTGGAATTGCTTGTTCTCGTAGAGCACCGTGTGGCACATGAAAAAGATCTCGGGCAGCACCTTGCACCGAAGCTCCTCCATCTCATGACCTGATGACCATTGGCGAGTGGTGAGGGACCAGGGAGGAGGTGTGACGCGCCAACGGGTGTGGGTGGGAGGTGGGTGTGGGGAAGCGAGAGACTGAGAGTGAGGCGTACTGCGGGCAAGTGCTTGTGCGTCGAGTGATAGCGGCCTCGATGTGTCAAGGTCCTGCAGCCAGCCATTGGGGAAGAGCAGCACGGCGTAGAGAGCGTGCATGGCAGCCTCTGCCAAGTTCCACGCGTCCAGCTGCCACTTGCGCAAGTCCTCCGCGTACGCCTTCATCTGATTACCGTAGACGATTTGGGTAGAGGCAGGGGCAGAGGCCAGCGGTGGTCCTTCTGGCGCCTTGGGGTGCCGAGCTCCGTGCGTGGCCCATTCGTTGTACGCTGATTGAGGGTGGGGTGGGGGGTGGTGACGGTTGAGTACAAACGCTATTGAGAGGCGCAGGAGGAAAGAGGTACCGGTTCGTGCCCTGTGGAGGTACTCGTAGCACGCGAACTCTCGCACCACGTTCTCCTCGCCAGCGAGCTTCTTCACGCTCCACCTTCTCTTCACAACGCCGACTGAGTCGCGGGGCAATGCCTTGAGCAACCTATCGAGGGCGCCCTCCTTGTCCGCAGCTGCGACGTGGAGAAGGACGTTAGGAATAACGAGCGCCATCACTCGAAGAAGAAGAGAAGACGAAGAAGGAGGAGAAAAAGAAACAACAGAGCGGGGATCGATGTACCGATGAACTTGCGTGCCAGGGCATTGGCATGAATTAGGGCATCGATTCGTTGGTCGGGATCGAAGGTGAGCCATTCGATTGCCCTAATGGCAACCTCATCCTCGGGTGTGATCGTCCGGGACTTAGCCGTCAATGGCGATTCACCCAAACCGCTCGCGGCTTCAAGGGCGAGACCAGGGGAAGCACGCATTAGCTCCACGACCCTCTTGGTGACCGCGTTGACGTTCAGACCCGCCCTGTCGGCGAGCTCCAGGCATCGTTCTCGCTGAGCGCAACATAGAAGTAAATTACAAATGCAACGTTTGAATATTGACAGTGTTCGCACAGCGGTTGGCCGGCCGCGTACCTCCTCGCGCTGGGTGATGTCGCGAAGGAAGTTGGCATAGATTTCAACTTGGTCCTCCGCCGGCAGCTTGGCCCTGCGCAGACAAAAAGAATTAAAATTGGGGTTTGGAGGTTTGAATTGTAGCAAAACGCAGTAACGATAAAATGGGGAAAGGAACGCACGTGTAGAGAGCAACGAGTGCGGTTTGCTTGGTCTTGATCAAGTGTCTGACGTACGCCTCGATGAGATGATCCGCGTGAGGACAGGCGCCCCTGACTTGACGAAGGAACAATGCCAGATGTGCTGCGAATTTGATCAGCACTGCCGGCGAACCCGGGGTGCCTTCCTGAGGAGATGGGAGTACGAGCACCACGCAGCCCGAGAGGAGAGTCAGCACAGGGAAAGCACAACTTGGCAGTTCGCAAATGATGACTAAGACGGGACGTTTACCTTCGGCCACACCCACGTAGCCAGATCGCCCAACAAACTATCTTCTTTGTTCAGAATGAGGTATGTCTGAATGATGTGGTAGGGTTCGTGGACCGCTTGCCTGTAGGGAGTAAGGAGTACGGCAGGAAAGCGCCAGCACGGTCGACCCGCTTTTTGCACACGCCGCTTTGATGTCCGTACCTGATGGGCAACATGTCGCTCTTCAGCAGTTGGTCGAAGATTTGCGTGATCCTGGCGGCAAGATGCTCCTCGCCGAGTGGCTCTACGGTGGGTGGTGAACGCGGATTACGTAGCTGCAGCTCCTGTGATTACAGACGAGCAGCATCAGTTGTGGTGCCACGCAGTCAAACGTCTGGGATTCGAGCTAATTATTGGGTACCACTTCGAGAAGTTCGTGCAGGAGGCCCTTGAAGTTTGCCCACACGTTGTCTTCCCACGTGTAGCACACGGGAAGGATCTGGTCCACGTTTCCGCACATCAAAGCGTAGATGGCTCTTTCGTGCTTGCTGAACCGCTCCACCTGCTGGCGTGCAAACGTGTCAGCTACTCGCGCCTCTTCCCCCAGAGAGCTCGGCCGTACCTCGTTCGAGATGGCCCTGCAGGCCTGCTGCCACATGTGGTAGGCGCTCTGAGTGCCATCGTCGGCTGTTGCGGTAAAACGAGAAGGTGAGCAAGAAGCGTCGATGGCGAGACAGCAATAAGAAGAACAATAATAAACGTGGAGGGTGGGCGCCTGTACTCAGAGGCAGGGGCTCACTCGAGAGGGCGGTGCTCAGAGAGGCAGCGCGCCAGTTCTGTCCCGACTGACGACAGAACTCGAGGGCCTCCTTTTTTGCGCCGGCCCGCAGGAGGCTCCACACAACTTGCAAAAGACGTTGTTCATCCTCCTGTGGTTGCATGACTCGAGTGAGCAGACACTCCGCAGTACCGCCCAATGCAGGGCATGTTACGTACCGCGTCCTCTTCCCTGAGCTTCTTGTCTTGCCGCGTGGTAGCATCGGGATCGAGATTCGACACCAGCTCTTGGTGGAAAGGACCTCGCCTGTTCTTGTCTCCCTGAAGGGAGCGCAGGGTATTGCTCCATCTGGAATCGCAAAGGTCAGCATCCCCGTTTCTTCTCGAGGCACCGCCCGCGTAGAATTAAGAGAGATGGTGTGTTACCCGGCATCGATGCGGTACGTTGGCACGCCAGAGAGTTTGGCCAGCTGCTCGAGCCACCCCGCTACAACCTGTCAAAGTGGTAGTGGTGGGGGTGAGCTGCCACGGCCTCATACCACTTACGCCCGACCAACGCGGACCGCACCTTGGCTTCACGGAACGCTCGACTTCGTTCTTTGAGATCCTGCTTGATCTGCTTCTGGCTGATGGTAAGTACGCGCAGCCGTTCCTTCCCGTCCTCGATGATGTCATCCGCGGCCGAGGTGCCGAGAAGCCTGTCCTTGTAGAGGGCGTGAAGGAGCAACCAGGTGTCCCGTTCACCTTTCAAGTGCTGAAAGTCGTGGTTGGCGCGCATGACCTCCAGAGAGCTTGCCACCGTAATGCCCGCCTCCGATCTCACCAGGTGCTGCAAGTCCTCGAGCCTGCGCCGCACGCATAGACAATGTGAGGCAACGACGCGATGGCAAACACAACATCAAGCGGAAGGCAACCTTGCGGCGCAGATGGCCTCGCAGCGTTCGAGGAGAGCAAACACGTCAGTCTGCAGATGCTCCTCTACGGCGCGGGCGAATTCCACCTCCTCTGGTCGTTCGGCACCACCGCTCACGGCTTCGAGCACACGAGCTGGCGTTGTCTCCGCAGGCATGACAGCGGCACGATCGACCCGACCTCGGAAGCCTGAGAGCGCAAACTGGTTGAAGGCGTCCGGCATCGCTCGTCCCAGCACATTCCCGCCGTAGCTGCTTGTCGCTTCATCCATGGCATTGAATCGGTCATCTATCTCCTCGAGATAGAACTTTCCTTCAGGCTCTTCTTCGTCACCGTAGTTCTCGTCTACGCCTTCCCACTCGTGCTGGAAATACGGCACGCCCTCATTTTCACCTTCTGCGCGTGCATAAGTAAGAAGTTTGCGCGAGCAGTGTAGATGGGGGAAGGCAAGTACGGTGATCGGTGAATGAAGATCTAAAACGGCCGGTGCTGCACGGAAAGAGTACGCCATTAGCGAGGGTTTCACCCAAAAAGTGGACAACAATGCGTACCCGTCAGCGAGTCGTGATGTGTCTCCTTCTACCGCTGGAAAGATTGTCAGCATTAGATTTTTCATTTTGATGACAATTGCTTGCTTGCCAGCTGAGATTGCGTACCATCTTCGTCGTAGAGGCTTTGAATCGGGGGTACAGCAAATGAGCTTGGCCAAGACTCCATCTCCAGCCTGCACGATCGATCGCTGGCACTACTTGATTCCGCGGGCGGGAAAACGCGGCAGAAGGAAAAGAAGGCAGGCAGGGAAACGAGGGAACAAAAAACAAAAACAAAAACAAAAACAAAAAAGTGAAAAACAAAAAGCTGCCCAACAAGGGTGAAGGAGAGATGCGTGCGTCGCTCAAGGTGGACACGAGCGGGAGGGGCAGTGCCACGCCGTCCAAGCAAAGGCGGCGCTCCACAATGCATAACAGCAGCAGCAACAAAGACTCGTCGAATGGCGCGGGCGACGGTGGAGGGGGCGGCAGAGAGGATAGCTCCATGGAGGCCCTCGAGGCCCAGCGCTACCTGCAGACCACCCTCCCGCGCTTCCTGGAGAACATCGACGACGCCTACAAGGTGCCCTTCAACTTCAAGGTACGCCCGCAGGCTTCCCTTTTTATGGTCGCATGGTGGTGGCTGGTGCTGTTGATGGTGGTGGTGACGATGATGGTCCACCACGACGTTGTGGTGTGGTGTGGTGTGGTGTGCTGTGCTGTGGTGGTGCAGCTCGGGGAGGGTAACGTGGTGGAGAAGGAGGAGACGGCGATGCTGGTGCCCCTGGGGAGCTTCAACCCGGTGCCCAAGATCCTGAGCGCCATTCAGTCCGATGACCTGGAGGACGAACGCGCGGCTCTCCGGTCCGACTGCGACAGCATGGACCAGGCCATGCAGATCATCGTCGACGGTACGGACCTCCGCCTCGAGAAGGCCCTTCTCCGTGCGCACGACGTCCATCCACACTGACCACGACCTGGGGTGGTGGCTGGTGGTGGCCCCGACCAGCGTACTACAACGGGTTTAACAAGTCGCTGGCCAGCTATGGGCACATCCTGCGGCACATCTCCACCTCCAAGGAGTCGGTGCGGCTGCTCAAGGCGCAGCTGGCCGACATCAAGACCAGCCTCAACATCCGCAACAAGGCACGTCACGCCGCACGCGGTTTCGGTAGTGGTGGCTGGTGGCTGGTGGCTGGTGGCTGGTGGCTGGTGGTGGGTGCTTCAGAGCCTTGCACCTCTTGCTCATTTTTACCCCTGGTGGCTGGTGGCTGGTGGCGCGCGCTGCTCTCTCCAGGAATTGCGTAAGCTGTGGCTGCGAAAGGCCGAGTACAGCGAAACGACCCGCATCCTCGACGAAATGTACGCACAACCACACCACGGCCACAGCCACACAACACCACGGCATGCGCCAACAGCACCGCTGACTTGCTCTGACACACACGCGTGGTGCTGCTGCTGCTGGTGGCTGGTGGTGGGGGAACGCCCATTAATGGGCCACTGCAGCGAAGAGGTGAAGGTCGGGTGGGAGCTCGTGGAGCGCCACACGCAGGCCCAGAGCTGGGTGCCGGCGGCGCGCGTGCTGATTCGATGCGCGCGCATCGTCGAGCAGGACGAAATGCGCCAGATCGGTGCCATCTACGACATCCGCCTCTTTGTGCTCGACCTCTACCACGTACCGCCCTCCCCATCACCCCCCTTTATCTGCTCTCCATAGCGAGCTCATGTAGCCACGTTCCTTCTTCGCCCCCCCCCCATCCCAAAGAAATTCCACACCCGGATCATCGAGGAGCTGCATCAGGTCATCTACCTCAAGCACCACGACCACCAGCAGCACCACCAGAACCAGCAGCAGGCGGCCGGAGAGGGAATGGTGGACAGGACCGCCTCCGTGGACCTCTCCCTTTCGCGGTGAGTGTCACACCCGCCCCGACACGCTAACAACCGACCCACACGACCCACATGACGCACAATGCGGCAGCTGCACTTGCGTGTTTAACATATACACAACATACACAACACACACAACACATACGTAACACACAACACACACACACAACACGGGCGCTCTCGTTGGCAGGTCGCAAGGGGACGTGCTGGCTGGCAGAGCCGAGCCGACGCGCCAGGAGCAGCCCAAGCTGACTGCCGCGCAGCTCACTCAGGTGCGTGCCAACCGGTCAATTTCTGCGCCGCTCACATAGCCCCAGTGCGCTGGTGAAACATACACAGATGCGCGCTCATGCTAACGCACACACCTACCCCCTACCCCCCTACCCCTCCAAGCGCCTGGAGTCGTTGGTGGAGAGCCTGTGCATCGTGAAGCGGGTGAAGGAGGCCGTAGAGGCGCTCTCCTCGCGCGTGGGCACCGAAACGCGCTCCATGATCGACGCCGGCATCTCCGGCATCCTCATCAAGCACCAGGAAAAGCGATCCGCTCCCTCCGCCGCCGCCGCCGTGGCCTCGACCGCGTCGCACGCCCCCAACTCTCGTACGCCCTCTTCCACCCGTCCACGGGAGTAGCGTGGGTAGTGGCTGGCGCCAAGCTAATGCGCTTGCTTACGCCTCTTCCCCCCCTCCCGCATCAACGCTGATCGACGCAGCGCTGGAGAACTTGCTGCGGGCCTTGTTCGAGGACTGCGTGAAGGTGCTCCTCAACCACAAGCGGGTGGTGCTCCTCCTGCGCTCGTTTTGCGCACAAAACACATCCCAGGCACGTTACACACCTGCTGCTCGCGTGTGCCCCCCCCGGGGGGGACCTCAGCTGAGCTCGGGGAGTGACTCACCCCTGTCACTATCACTGTCCCGCCCCACAGAAGGGCGAGGCGTCGGCGTACACGCTGGCGGGCGTGTGGGAGGCCATGCAGGAGGAGCTCATCACCCTCCTCCGCATCTACCTCGCGGCCAGCTCGCCCTCCGCCGACAGCAACTCCAACATCGCCGACGCTCCTCGCGTACCCTCGCCTCCTCCGTCGATTTGCCCCCCAATGGGGGGCTCCTCCTCCTCCTCCTCCTCGGCTCACCTGTACTGGCGCGCGTGCATGCTCCCTGTGTGCGATGTGCGTGCGTGCGGAACAATGATGCAGCGCAAGCTCTTCCGCTTTGCCGATTCGTCGGCCGCCACGTACAACGTGACGGGCGCCAAGGAGGGCGCTTCCGCCCTCGCCGCTCTGCAGTTGCTGAGCCCGAGCCCGTACAACCTCATCACCGTCTACCCCCTCCTACGCCGCTTCCAGGCCGACGTCCTGCGCTCTGTCCTCGTGCGCTCACCTACCCCCCCTCTCCCGCTTATACCCGTCTCCTCGTCCCCCCCCCGGCACTCATCGCGCCGGGCCGACCACGTCACCCTTCCCGCTCCCCCCCCAAAGGAATTCCACGAGGCCCAGGACAATGGGCGGCTGCTGGGCTTCATGGACGAATTCGTGGAACAGGTGAGCTATCCCTCCCCTCCCCTCCCCTCTCGTGTGGCGGCGGCCTGACCCCCCGCGGGGCTGCGCCGATCAGGTCTATCTGCCGCACGTTCGCCACCAGTACAGAACGCGGCTCAACCAGGCCGTCGAATGTGCGCTTCCCTTCTCCTCCCTTTGACCCGCCTCCTCTCCCCCAAGCTGCGCTGCGAAGTCTTACCGGTGTGTCGTGTGTGTCGTGTGTGTCGTGTGTGTGTGTGTGTGTGTGTGTGTGTGTGTGTGTGTGTGTGTGTGTGTTGTTGCCTGTCGTCCGCCAGCCCCCGACGCGTTCAAACCGAGGGAGCGGCAGAGGGCCGCCAATGGGGAGGTCCACAATTGGCCTCGGTCGGTGGTCTATTGCGTGGGCGAGCTGGCCACCATGATCCGTGACGCTGCCCGCGCCATGGCCGCCCTCCCCGCCTACGCCCACCACCTTGCTCAGGTGCCCACCCAACCCCCCTCTTTCAGCCCATGAGTGGATGAACTGCCGAGGCCGCGGCCGTGACCACGACGGATTGGAATGCGAACGAGGTGGGTGGCATTAAACCTAAACAACGTCCACGGCAGGTGGTGGAGGACCTGTGCCTGTCGTTCCAGCGCCGCTGTACGGTGGCGTACGAGGACGCCACGGAGAGCTCCCTAGCGGCCCGCATCGTCTCCAATTCCCTGGTGCCGGCCCAGTTGGCCCACGACCCCCTGTGGAACAAACTGCTCGCCGACATCCGTACGCCTCCCCCCTCTTCCTCCTTCTCGCACCCCTCAAAGTCGCACCTCGCCCTTCATGCGCGTTGGCCAACGACTCGCCTCGCGACCCGCCGCAGAGGAGGAGGAGGCGCTGGCCAAGAAAGAGGGCAGAGGGCGGGACGCCCATCGGGCATTGGGGCGACTGTCGCCCCGCAGCAAGACGTCTCCCCGCGGTAAGATGTCGCCCCGACGGCGGCAGGCGAGCGTGCTGGAGGCCGAGCCGGAGAGCGAGGGCGGTTGGGCCACCTACCTGTACGAGGGCGAGGACAAGTTTTGCCGCGACAATCCCATCGCCCGCACCGACCTCCTCCTCGACTCGGGCCGCCTCCTCCACCTGTGCCACCTCACCGAGAGCCTCGTACCCCCCCCTCTCTTTTTCCCCTCTTCGGAGCGTGAGCCAGGTCGCGCGACCTGACGCCTCTTCTTCGCCTCTCGGCTGCCGACGGCTTCGGTCGGTGTGCAGGAGTGGTTGGTCGAGGAGCTGGAGTCGATGTGCACCGAACAGCAGCACCAGCAGCAGCAGGGGGAGGCGTCCAAACGGCGCGAGGGAGTGGCCGATGGCTGGGGCCTGCGCACGGCCATCAACCAATTCACGGCCATGGCCAACCGGTACACACACATTTCCTCCCTCCCCTCCCCCCAAACCATATTAGATAAGTCCTTGCGGCGGCGGCGGCGGCGGCGGGTGGATGGTGTCGATCTCAAGAAGAGTCGCGGGTGGGTGCATGGCGCGGGTGCAGGTGCCTGTTTGTGCTCAAGGTCGAGGTGCGGTTGCACGCGTTCTACTTCCTAGACGGGCTGCAGAAGTGCTCCTACGTGGTGGGCGACGAAACCCCCGAACCCGACGGATGCATCGTCGAGCTCACCAAGGTACATGCACCCCCCCCCTCTCCCTCCACCCTATTGCCCACCCACCACCTCCAAGAAGGGAATAGGAGGGGGATCCTAGTGCGCGCCAACGAGCTTCCTGCTCACTGTGACCTTCTGTGTGTCGTGCTGGTGGCTGGTGGCTGGTGGTGGCTGGTGGCACGCGCAGGACCTGGGGGCGCTGGAGAGCATTCTGTCGCGGGTGCTGCCCGAGCACAAGGTGGCCTACGTGCTCGGCGGCCTCGAGGGCCTGGTGGCGTCGATTGTGGTGCGCACGCTGCCCAAGGTCAAGGCCTTCAATCCCAACGGCGTCTGGAAGATGTGCCGGTACACCGCCACCGCCACCCCGCAACCACCACACTTCTCCCCCCCCACAGCAGCCAACCGGCACTCACCGCCGCCTACGGGCTGAGCCAGGAATGTGTTTGCGCTCGAGCAGTCTCTCTCGCAGCTGGGCTACGCGGGCAACGGGGTCGCGTTTGAGGCGGCGCGGCGCTACTACCGCCTGCTCACCCTCCCGCCCGACGAGCTCGTGGCCCACCTCCTTCGCCCTTCGTCATCGCCGCCGGCCGCCGGTTCGCCATCAGCATCGTCATCATCGCCCGGCGACGACGCGTCAGTGGTGGCTGGCCAGGGCGGACGGGCCTACTACGCCTACACGCCGGAGGAGTACAAGGCCCTGCTGGCCCACCTCGACAAATCCCCCGCCTACCGGCACGTCAACTTCGACGCCCTCCTCAAGACCCTGGCCGCCAAGGCGTAGGACCGACCAATCTGGTCCCCTTTTTCGAGTTTGAGCCACCAGAGAAAAAGAAAAAGAAACTATTTTCTTTTTTGTTGCAGATCGGAAGAAAGATGGAGAAGGGGAATGGACCTGCAACTCGTGCGGAGGTGGATCTCACCGATGATCTTCCGGAGTTTGTGGTCATTGACGACGAGGGAGTAGACGAGGGACCGAGCGTCCTCTACCAGCGAGCTGCCCCCATCGGATTCGTCCTGGGCCATGATGCCAACTCGGCACCTGTCGTGGGCGGGTGGCAACGAAGCACCACCACCACCAGCACCTCCACGAGCTCCACGAGCACCGCCAGCAGCACCACCAGCACTACTCGCAGCGGCAGCGGCAGCAGCAACGGCGGCCGCGGCAGCGATAGCCGCGATGTAGAGGAGCTGTTCCTGCAGGGCGACACCTACTCCCGTTCTCACCCGCCTCCGTGGCTCGCCAAGTCCTCCTCCTCCTCCTCCGTGGGGTACTACTGCTACATCGCGCCGCCCTCGTGTTGCACGTTGGAGGCTAACGCCGTGCGTCTCTCTTCCTCCTCTTCCTCCAGTGCTGGGGGTGGTGGCAGCACACTGCACGAGGAGATCAAGGCCTTCGCCCAGTTCATGTCCCCCACGCCGGGGGAGAAGAAGATGCGGGAGGAGGTCATTCGCCGCATCTCGTCCGTTATCACCACCGTTTGGCCCTACGCGGAGGTGCACGTCCTCGCGACACGCGACACACGCGACACACACACACACACCAGATGACATTGGTCAATCGCTGGCGACTCACTTTTGTTGGGTGGTGGCTGCTGGTGGCTGGGATCCAGGTGAACGTGTTCGGGTCGTCCGCTTCCGAGCTCTACCTGCCCCTCAGGTAGCGTGCCCGCGCAGGGAGCACGTGTTGACGTAAATGTGGGCCGCCGCCGCTGATGACGATGACGACGATGATGGCGTCGTTGGTGGTGGGCGTGCGTGCAGTGACGTGGACATGGGGGTCGTTGGAGCCGGCAAAAATCCGATCTTCGCGTTGGCGGCCGTCTTCCGCAGACAGGGCAGGTACCACAACATCGAGACCATCGCCAAGGCGCGCGTGCCCATCATCAAGCTCGTCGATTCGGGTATTATGTCTGCCTGCGCTTGGCCTATCCCCACTACCCTTGCACAGTGGTCTCCCATAGCCCTGGTTTCCATCCCAATTATTCTTATGATTTCTTCTTCTTCTTCTTGCTCCTTCTCGAAGAAACCAACTGCCAGGTAGACATCAGTTTTGCCACCACGGCCAACGGAGCCGTCAACACAGCCATCGTAAAGGTGACCATCTCACCACCGCCGCCACCTCTCCTACTACCCCAAGGCGAGACTGGCGGCGACCAGTGCAGGAGAAGCAGATCTCCTTCCCCCAATCTAGGGCATCACCGCGCTCACTAACTCTCCTCCTCCTCCTCCTCGTCGGTCTTCTTCTTCTTCTTCGTCTCCAATTCCAGAAATTCTGTGTCGAGGCGGAGGAGATCAGGCCGCTGGCCCTGGTGCTCAAGTACTATCTGAGCCAAATGGGCCTCAACGAACCCTACACGGGCGGGATCGGGTCGTACACCCTCCTGCTCATGATCATCTCCTACCTCCAGGTACACCACCCACCACGACCACCCACCACGACCACCCACCACGACCACCCACCACCAGCCACCACCACCACCTCCCGCCCCCTACTGGACACGTTGTCCCTTCACCCGCTTCCCTACTTCTCCGCACGCGCGCTCGCGCTCGTCCGCTCACGCGCCCTCTCTCGCGCCAGCTGCACCGGCCCGAGGGTCCCGAGGGGAGCGATCTCGGGCAGCTGCTGAAGGGCTTTCTGCTGCTCTACGGGCGCGACTTCAACTACCACCGCACCGGCATCTCCGTACGCAACGGCGGCTGCTATTACCAAAAGGCACACTAGCCCCCCTCCCCCCAACCTCCCACGCCACCCACGGCAATGGTGGTCCGGCTGGTGACACGCCGTGTTCGCTGCGTGCCCTGCCTTACGAATGCCGTTGTGCGCAACACTCGTCTGACTCTGACGTGCCTTTCGTGGCAGGCCCGCCGCGGTTGGGGATCCGCGGAGCAGCCCTGGCTCCTCTCCGTGGAGGTACGCTCGACTCTTTGCTCTCTTGCTCTGGTACCTCTTTTTTTTTTTTTTTTACTTACAAAACGAGCGCGGTGGGCCGCTGCACCGAACGCTGGCTTGACGCGCAGGATCCCGGCGATACGGAAAACGACGCGAGCCGATCGTCGTACGGGATCATGGAGGTGCGGGCGTGCTTCCTCAACGCCTACCGTGCGCTCACCTCGACCTCGGGCCTGTTCGAGTCGTGCCCGTCGTTCCTCGCCCGAATTCTCCTCCGTGACCGCCGCCTCGAACACCACCGCAGCGCCATCCGCGACCTCTACGCCCGGAGCGACGGATCCTCCTCCTCCTCTTCCGCTGATCGTAAGCGCACTCGCGACCAGTGGGACCAGCGGGACCAGCGCTATCGACATGACGACGACCGAAGCCACCATCGCCACCGCCGTGACCACGACGAAGACGAGCGCCACCACACCGACAGATACCGCCCGCGTCCTCGCACCCACCACGGGAACGAAGCGGAAGGCGGCCACCGCAGGTTCTGAGCCATCGGCAGCAGCAGCAGCCGCAGCCGCAGCACGGGCGATCACGGCAACAACGGATCACGCGGATGACAGGGAGAGAGGCTGGCGGAACGAGTCAGGCGCATCAGCACCACCACAAGCACACGCTGTTGCCCCCCCTTTTGTCCCCCCCCCTCCCTCCCTACAAAGTGCCATAGCAGTACCGCGTGGCATGGCAATGACACCCAAGTCAGTCACCATTACGAGTGTAGTGGAACCCCCCCCCCCAACATTGAAACAAACTTGTACTGCGTCGGGGCGCTCTAGTCTACACTGGAATACTTGCGCTGGTGGCATCATGCGGCTGGCACGCAGAGGACCTGCCCTGTGCGCCCCCCTACGCAAAGCCAGTGGCGCCAGCGCGCGGGTGGGGGTACCACCTGCCATCACTACCACTCGATACCGCCACTACTCCTCGAGCAGCAGCAGCCGGAGAAGGGCGCAAGTGTGGGTGTGTGGGGGTTCTGCCGAGGGACAACTGGGACTGCCGCCTGCAGCCCTCACCCCCGAGGCCGACGGGGAGGAGGGCGCAGGCTCTTCGCCCGTGTGCACCCCCGCGCCCCTACCAGGTTACCCCCCCCCTCCCCCACACCAAGCAACCGGCAAAACAGTAGTTTCCTGTTGTGGCTTGTGCTGATGCCCCCCCCCGCGCACGTGGGCCAGGATTTCCCAAGGAGGAGGCGGAGGAGGCCGTGCTGGTGGCGTGCGGCGATGCCACCACCCTCGTCGCCGTGCGCACCACCACCACCACCACCACCAGCAGCAGAGCATCACAGCAGCAGCAGCAGCGGGGTACGGCCGAGCACCGGTGGCTGTGGGTTGTGGTGGTTGTTGCGGTTGCGGTTGGTGAGCACACACATCTCCTCACCCTTTATACGCAGCAGAGGCCCAGAGAAGGGTGTACGGATGGGGCAGCACGGCCTACCGCGGACCACCAGCCGCCCAGCAGCAGCCGCCGCCCCACGCACCGGGCATGGAC